TTAGGTTTAGTTGTTAGTTAATTAGTACTTACTTAGTTATAGTATATATATATATATATATATATATATATATATTAAAATGTATTTGAGTGAAAAACGAAAATGGTGTGTGTTGCCAAATTGCGTAAATTAACTAAAATATTGGCTTCAGACTGGTTTAAGTTCTCAGTACATAACACTACATAATGAAGAAAACAGGAGCAGACATAAGAAATTTTTTTGTAGCTTGAGAAAGTGTCCTGTTACAACTAGTGTCACAGACTCTCAAAATAGCCTTGAAGAACCCTTCAATGAAAAGCAAAATGAGCTTGCATGTGACCCTAGTGAATATTCTTCTGTACCTTCTGTGAAGTTCCCTAGTGTGTTGGATGCTTGCGCAATACCTACAACAAATTCTCTTTTGGTTATTGCATCAATAGCTGTATCATGTGGATCCATTCTGACATCTGTAAAATGAAGCTAATCGAGTCTTGTGCACAAGCAGCTCATATTGAAATGCCAAGTTGTAAATATGCAGATAAATCAAGAACAGGTAATTTGTGTATATATTATCTATATTATGTATTTTGTCCAAATAAAATCGGTGACTAGTACCTTAGTAAAACATATGCTTTTTAAGTTTTCCAATTTCTAATAAACTTGTAAACTGAAAAGTTGATTGAATATCTCTGAAATAATTATCATATGGGGCTCGTTTCATTAAAGTTTATAATTCACAAGCTACAAGCTAATTATCTAATGTTACAATTGGAATTTGAATTTATTCCATCTTTGCACATGTCGCTCCAATTTTAACAGTTGACAAAAACCACTTTCTAGATACTATTAATCATACATAAATGTATTAATTATTATTTAAATTTACTGTATTTATTTGTATCTAAAATTATATTATAGGTAATGTCCAACTAGATAAATGTTAATTGCTGCAATATACTTACACTTTTCATGCAAATAGTAAAAGTTAACTATGTTGATATGTAACTGTTTATTATGATTGTAAGTTTAAATAATGTATGTTTATGTATTCTATGTATGTTGTGTGAATGTGGACCAACTTTGAGCCCAACATAAAATATGATATAGTAATGAATGCCATAAATGCAGAAGAGGTAATCCAGCTGTCCTGAAATTATATCTAAAAATTTACCTAGGTTTTGAGCTGATGAATTTCACAAAAAGCATTTTTGCATTTCATTAGAAGTGGCAAAATCATGTGTATTTTTTTATGAAACAGTTGATGAAAAAGGAAAGTTTGGTAAAAATAACAAATCAATATTTTTTATCAATGTTAATTATTTACAGGTGGAGTTCATGAGAGATTTTGCAAAAAGGAATGGATTGAGAAATATACATTTACAGCCTACTCATCATCTGCACGTGGGATATTTTGTTTACCATGTGTTCTCTTTCCTGTTGACCAGCACACAAGTGGCCAAGGTCAAGTTCTTATTGCTCATCCACTCACCAACTGGAAAGATACTTTGGCTGATCTGAAGAAGCATAGCCATCTAGAATACCACCTGAAGTCTGAGGCAAGAATTGAAACATTTGTACGCACAATGAATAACCCCAAGCAGTGAGTTGACATGCTAGTTTCTACAGCTATACAAGAATGACAGCAAAAGAATCGAGCAATAGTAAAGACTATTTTGAAATGTAGAGCTGTGTGGGAGAGAAGCATCTCATTAAGAAATCATCGTGATGACAGCATGTCCACTGATTACGCTTTGCAAGGTAAATTCAAAGCAATTGTAAACTTTAGAGTCGAGTCAGGGGATAAAGTGCTTGAAAAACAACTTAAAACATGTTCATCTTGTGAAACCTACATTTCCAAGACAACCCAGAATGAGTGTTTAGAGTGCTTCGGTGATTATATTTGAGATGCAGTTGTTACCAATATCAAAGCAAGCAATTTTTATGCCTTCATAGTTGATGAGGTAGCTAATGTGTCACACTGGGAACAATTAGGAATAATGATCAGATGTGTCAAAGAAGGACAGGCTGTTGAGAAATTGCTTGGATTTGTGGTGTGTGAAAGTGTACATGGAAAAGATCTATTTCAGAAAATGAAATCTTGTCTCGTAAAATGTGGACTTGATTTAAATCAGTATCGAGGTTAAGGATATGATGGGGCTGGTGCTATAGCAGGAGCTCAGAAAGTGTGTCAAGCATGTCTAAAAGCAGAAGTACCACAAACAATTTATTATCATTGTAGTAGCCGTCAGTTCAACCTTTCATTGTCCAAGGCATGTGCAATTCCAAAGATGCTTAGAATGGTTTTCTCAATGAAAACACTAGGCTTATTTTTCGTGTACTCGCCTAAACACCAGTGCAAGTTGGAGACTAGTACAGAACATGTGAGCGAGAATAGAAAATCTGTTTACCAAATGTTTACCAAGAAGAAGCTGAAACTTGTATGTAATACTTGATGGGTTGAATGGCATACTACAATGGAAGACTTCCATGGTCTTTATCAATGTCTACTTTTATTTCTAGGGCAGATTTTTACACCTAACCTTGACAGCTGTGTGAAATGAGATGCTCACAATGTAACTGAAGCTTCAGGATTGCTAAAGCAAATGCAGTCATATGAGTTTTGGGTTGCATTCTATGTTTATCGTTACTTCTTTGGATTCATAAAAAAAATCTTTCCAAACAGCTGCAGGGTGAGAGCAAAGGTGTACTTTCTGCTTATGATAACATATCTGTTGCAGTTACATGTATTGCATCTGCAAGCAGTGATGCTGAAACGTGATTTCAAATAATCTTTCGAGAAGCAAATGCAGCAAAGTTGCTTCTCCATGGAAAAGAGTTAGCAGTTCCATGTTGCTGCAGTGCTCAAACATGTTGATTGAATCATCCATCAGAGTCAGCAGAAGAGTTTTGGTGCCAATCTATTTTCATTCTATTTGCCAATCATCTTGTGGGGGACCTGAAGTCAAGGTTTAACCAATTATCAATCATAACAATGAGTTCTCTATATCTTCTTCCTAATCTTTTCAGTTTGCTAATATATGGCTCATGTAATGAATCAAACACAGTGGCACCCCACCCACCTCTTTCCTTTTTTGGAAATGCTCCCTTATATACACTCACTTCTATATGTGACATGAATAACCAATCAGAAGCTCTGAATGCCCCCCCCCCTAATGGCTTTCTCAGACATTTTAATGGTCTTGGCACCATTTATTTCTTACAAACCAATATTTCAACGAGGTAGGGTGTGTCTTTAGTCTGCTCAAAATTTCATATTTTTTTAGAGAAGAATACATCTTAGTTACCAAGTTTGATAAATTATAGTTGAATTCTATGGTATTAATGTAGTAATTTATGATTTTTTTAGTTTTTAAAATGTATATGTATTCCCAAAAAAAATATTTTGTTTCATATCCTACCCGTGTAATTTTTTTACCTGCCTCAAGCAGCAACCAAGTAAAAAGGTCATAACTAGAAGAGATAATTGTTTGCTTTACTTTTTTTATTTACTGTTCTATGTTTTAAGAAAAATAAGTTGTTTCAAAATAGCAATAATCTATATATATATATATAATGTATAATAATTGAAATGTGAATATATTTTACAAAATACTAGTCGACTGAAATACACCCAAGACATGATACTTTGTACAGACCAAAGGCCACCTTTATGTTATTTGATATATTAACATGAGTACACGTGAGCCACTTCGTTGTAACTTTTGTATTGTTAGCTAGTCATGGCTGAAAGGTCTATTTGATAAAAATGATAAATATTTATAAATGTATAATGTTATGAGATTTAAGCTATTTAGTCTAAACATTTATGTTTTC